ACTGGTCCGGCCGCGCCTCAGCCACAGGAGACTTTCTTCTGCGCCGCTCTAGGCGATCCCAGCTCGATGTGTGCCCCCGTGAGCCTGTCCCCCCTCGTCGTTGGCCCTCAGCTTCGGATGGATAGTCAAGTAGCGGCGAAGCGTCCTGGCGTGCCTGTAATTAGTTGTGGAGGACGATCAATGGAGAGGAAAAATGTTGCAAAACAATTTCCAGATGTTCAAAACATGTGTCAAACATGTTTTAAACATGTAGAAACATATTTGAAGCATGTTCAGAACATGTTTCCCAAATTCTAAACAAGTCTTTAGTTTAATGATAGGACTGTTGGGGTGGTCCATTGTCGTGGCATCCACAGCGATAAGGCCCCAGCCTGCCCAGGGCCGTGCAGATTTCGCCATCGGGGACGGGTCGCCAATCCATCGGCGATCCCAGCTCGATCTGTGCCCCCGTGAGCCAGCCCCCCCTGGTCGTTGACCCTCAGCGTCGGATGGATCAAGCAGTGGCGAAGCGTCTTGGCGTGCCTATAGGCCCACCAAAACATGTTCCAATAATCTTGTGTGGTTTCCACGCAGTGTTCTTAGAACGTTTCTGGCTGGGACTGTTTTGTTTTCACTCATCGGCTGTATGTTCTAAGAACAGTGTTTTCGTTCTGAGAACACTCTTTGGGATCTACAAACATGTCGTGGTAGGCCTGTAGGAATGCCAGGACGGTCGGTCCCTGCTCCGATGGGTGGGGTGCTCGGGTACCGGCGTGGCGCACATCCCATCACGTCTTCCCTACACCAGGGGTCCATGCCTTCGGGTGGACCGGCCGGTGGGGTGGGGACAGGCGAGATTCCTTCACGAACGCGTAGAAGACACTGGCGAAGAAGACATCTCCAGGGGAAGAGGAGGAGGAGGAGGAGGAGGAGGAGGAGGAGGAGGAGACAGTCTGTTTTGCCTCGGCCCGCGCCCACACCAGTCTTGACCCCTTGCCTGGGTGATAGGGGGCCGCGTGCGAACCCTGCCCCTACTCCCCACGACTGCTGAGGGGGAGGGTGGGGTTCACTTCGCTCGAGAGCTCCCGGACGCAGTGAACCCCACCCTCCCCCGCAGAAGTAAGTCGTGGGGGGCAATCAGGGGCAGGGTTCGCATGCGGCCCCCTATGGGTGCAGATTGCTCCGCCCCGGATCCGTGACTGCTGGCCCCTCTAGGCCCGAGGGCGGGCCCCAGTGGGCCGAGGTCGACGAGGACGGGCAGGGCCGAGCACCGACGCGTGGTCGGAGGTCCGGGAGGCAGGCTCGCACGTCGGGTCGGTGGCTGCCCACATGCGAGTGCCCACCCGCTTGGACGGCCTCCTGTCTCTTCTATGACGGGGCAGGAGGAGGAGGAAGAGGAGGAGGAGGAGGAGGAGGAGGAGGAGCATGACGAGAGGGACGCCCAGGAGGATGAGCAGTATTGGTAGGATGGTGGCGATGTTGTTACGAATTCGTTGCTGCCGCTGCTGACAACGGCTGAACTGATGCCGATCATGATGCGGATGATTATACTGATGGTAGAGGTGATGATGACATTGATGTTTATTATGATATGAATGCTTGTGATACTTGGAAGAGGAAGAGCAAGAGGGAGAGAAGGATGCGGAGGAGGAGGAGGAGGATGCAGGACCCGGCAAGAGGAGAGATAATGCAGGACACTGCAGGAAGAGGAGGAGGAGGAGGAGGAGGAGGAGGAGGAGGAGCAGGAGAAGGAGCATGACGAGAGAAACGCTCAGGAGGATGAGCAGTATTGGTAGGATGGTGACGATTTGGTTATGATGAGGATCGTGTGATGAAGCTGCTGGTGATATTGAAGAACTTCGTGCGGCCGCTGCTGGCAACGGCTGAACTGATGCCGATCATGATGCGGATGATTCTGCTGATGGTAATGGTGGTGATGACAATGATGCTTCGTATGATATGAGTGATGGTGATGTTTGGAAGAGGGAAAAAGGGAGAGAAGGAGACGGAGGAGGAGGCGGAAGATGCAGGACCGAGCAAGACGAGGGATAATGCAAGCTAATGCACGAGCAGGATGGTGATGATGATGATGACGATGATGATGCTGCTGATGATGCTGCTGCTGATGATGATGATGATGATGATGATGATGATGATGATGTTGATGCTGATGATGCTGCTGATGATGCTGCTGATGATGATGCTGACGATGATGATGATGATGATGATGATGATGATGATGCTGCTGATGATGATGGCGGTGATGATGATGGTGGTGGTGGTGATGTTGATGATGAGATGATGATGATGATGATGCTGATGATGATGATGATGATGATGATGAGGAGGAGGAGGAGGATGCTGCTGATGCTGCTGCTGATGATGATGATGATGATGATGATGATGATGATGAAGATGATGATGATGATGATGCTGCTGCTGCTGCTGCTGCTGATGATGATGATGATGATGATGATGATGGATGATGAGGAGGAGGAGGAGGAGGAGGAGGAGGAGGAGGAGGAGGCGGAGGCGGAGGCGGAGGCGGAGGCGGAGGCGGAGGCGGAGGCGGAGGCGGAGGCGGAGGCGGAGGAGGAGGAGGAGGAGGAGGAGGAGGAGGAGGAGGAGGAGGCGCAGGCGCAGGCGGAGGCGGAGGAGGAGGAGGAGGAGGAGGAGGAGGAGGAGGAGGAGGAGGAGGTGTCCAGGACGGGAGCCCCAACCGAACCCATAGGAACGGGAGGGGGCCGAATTGAGAGAAGAGGCCTCAGGAACCCCCAAGGCCTCACTAATTGATCAACCCATAGGTCGATCGGAGGAAAGATCAGCCCAAAGGCCGGACGCAAGCCCGAAACTTGCAGCCGAGACCACACCAAGCCCATCCGTCGACGGGGGGCGGACGGCGTCAGCCAGGGACTAGAACCCGCGGATGGGGGGCCCCTTGGAACAGAGGCAGGAGGCAAAAACTCTTGCGCAAACACGGATTCATCAGATCCCGACTCCACCCCCCCGTCCCCGTCCACGCCCGCTCCCCCTCCCTCGCATGCGGCTTCCTCCGATGGGAGGCCAGCCGACACACGCGAATGGCCGAGTGGGCTGGATGTGTCAGCTCTGAGACCGGCAGCGCTGACAGGGGCGCGGCATCGGGAGGGTCTGGCGGCAGGGGCTTCCCGCTTCTGGGGTCACGACCAGAGCTCAATCTGCGCACCTGGGATCGAACATTGGAAAGCGTGGACTTGTTCGATGGGGGCCGAAGGCAGTTCTCCTTGAGCTTCTTAGCATAAGCTTCTAAGCATGCTTGTGTACATGCAAACTGTAGTGACAACAGATCTCGCACATGCCAGCGTTTCCCCATCGGGCCAACTTGTGGCCCTTGCCCAACACGGGCGGGCCAGAACTTATCAACCCAACAAGCTTGCTGTAGGACTCCCGAGTCCTAGCTTCTTTATTGTAATGCATACATCTGATGGCCCCTTCACCGACATAATAAACATTATGCTCAGTGACCAGGACAGGGGCGATGGCTGGGAGCACATTTTACCTAGGCTCAGGCGGAGCCTCACATATCATCTTGTACATGCGGACCGCCCTCGATACCATGAAACCGAATAATCACGCAGTCGTCATAGCATACTTGCGCAGGCCCTTGTGGTTCTCTGCCAGGGTGTCGGCCACTTTGATGTTGCAGGCACCACACTATGCAAACCAAACTGCCCATTCATTTCCCACCACGTGGGCCAGGGATGCTCCTTCGCTTACAGAGGAGGAGGAGGAGGAAGAGGAGGAGGAGGAGGAGGAGGAGGAGGAGGAGGAGGAACAGGAGGAGGCGGGGAGGAGGAGGAGGGGTAGTGGAGGGGGAGGAGGGGGAGGGGGCGGGGGGAGGGGGGCGGGGGGGGGCGGGGGGGGGGGGGCGGGGGGAGGGGTGAGGGGGGAAGGGGGAGGGGCGGAGGGCGGAGGCGGAGGCGGAGGCGGAGGCGGGCGGAGGCGGGCGAGCGCGGAGGCGGAGGCGGACGGAGAGGAGGAGGGGGAGGAGGAGGAGGGAGGAGAGGAGGAGGAGGAGGAAAAGGAGGAGGAGGAGGAGGAGGAGGAGGAGGAGAGGAGGAGGGAGGAGCGAGGAGGGAGGAGGCGGGAGGGGAGGCGGGAGAGGGGGGGGGGGGGGAGGGGGTGAGGGGGTCGGGGGTCGGGGGAGCGGGGGCGGGGGAGCGGGGAGGGGGGAAGGGGTGAGGGGGTGAGGGGTGGAGGGGAGGGGCAAGCTAAGTGCGCTCGCGTCATATCTGACATCCTACCCCTCCCTCCCATCCCTTACCATGTCGTAGATCCCCTCTCTACTCGCACAGTCGGATATCGAGCAGGGCAATGATCCCGAAAGGGTACGCGATGCATTGTAGAGCACGGCATGGCATGTCGTAGAAGAGCACCGCAAAGCGTAGTATCAACCTAGCATTGCATTGCTTGCCGTGGCATGGCACGGGAAATGACGCCAGCGCTGCAGCGGGAGCACGAGTCGGAATGAGCGGAAGCGCGGAAATGAGGCCAGCGCTGCAGCGGGAGCACGATTCGGAACGAGCGGAAGCGCGGAAATGAGGCCAGCGCTGCAGCGGGAGCACGATTCGGAACGAGCGGGGCCCGAAAATGAGGCTGGCGCCTCAGCGAGAGCAGCAAGAGGGGAACATATGCAGGCGAAAACCTAACTCCGGGGAATCCTGTGTGTAAAAAACAGTACGCGGGGGGGGGGGCTAATATTTTCAAACCGTCATCAGGGGAAGAGGGAGAGTAGTATTCATATTGAGTAATTGTGGAGGGGGGAGGGGGGAGGGGGGAGGGGGGAGGAGGGAGGAGGGAGGAGGGAGGAGGAGGAGGAGGGAGGAATAGCGAGGAGGGAGGAGGCGGCGGACCAGGGACAGAACCGCCAGAGGGGGGGCTGTCGCGAGGGCCTCCACGAGCGCGCCTCGCGCAGCGCCCCCTGCGGGCGCGCGCGGAGGCCCAGGGCGAGGCCGGGAGAAGGCGCGGCGCCCCCTCGCGAGGTGCAGGGCATCCTCGCGCCGATCCCCGTGGGGGGCAGCACCGGGCGCTGCGGCGACGAGGCGCGCCGCCCCCGCCGGCCTCGCCAGTCGGCGGCCCTCCTCCTGCCTCCTTTGCCTCCTCCTCCTCCTCCTCTTCCTCCTCCTCCTCCTCCTCCTCCTCTCGATCTGCCGTGCACTCCCTTGTCGTGACCTGTCGCGAAGGAGCCTCATGTCATCCGCCTGGAAGCTGAGCTGGCTGGCGCACCGGCGGCCAAGCACCCAGCTCGGGCAAGCCGTGCGACTTCGGACAGGGACGACAACAGCTTCCGCTTGTTGATTTGCACCGCCAAGCTGGGCATCAAGAGCGCGACCGACCTCCGCATGGTGAGCGCTATCGTGTACCGCGCAGCCAAGGTCAAGTCTGATACCCCCATCGTCGAAGCGACCCAGGCGGCTCAGAAAACCCACTGAGAAGACCAAGGGCGTCACCGGCCACAAAGAGGGGCCTCCCGACGTGGTTGCCATGGTGACGTTTCTCCTCGATCTGGAGCAGACGTTGGAGCCGACTGACCCCAAGGCCACTTTGCTCAACGAGTTTTCCACGAACCATCCGCCGACGAGCGACATCCTCGCTAAGCGCATGTTGTGTTTCAAGGTGCAGGACGCCTGGGACCGGAATATGTGCAAGTTGTACATCCGCCTCCACAAAGATATCGAGAACATCGGCAAAATCAGTATGGACCACCTCATCGCGACGGGCGGCACGGAGGTTTACGGGAGCGCCCCGCGCGGCTCCCTCGAGCGCCAGATTGCTGATCTCATGATGGGCCTTGGTATGCCCGCGAGGAGCTCATGTGATTCGGGGCCAGAATGTCTGTCGAAGGGTTGCGGGTAAGTCGTTACGGCGGCTTGGCGCCCGATGGCCGTCTTCAAGGCCTGGGTCTTCACCAGGGCCATCTTCTGAAACGCCCAGGCGTTAGGGTCAGCGTGTGGCCGCGGATCGGCCGCCGTATTGCTGTTTTGCTGCCGCTGCCTTCTCCTCCTCCTCCTCCTCCTCCTCCTCCTCCTCCTCCTCCTCCTCCTCCTCCTCCCCCCCCTTTCTCCGCCTCCTCCTCCATCCTCCCTCCCTCCAGCCTCTCCCCCTGGTCCTTCAGAGGCCCCACGACGGCCCCATGACCCCCCCCCCGGGCTGCCCCAGGAGCCCAGGAGGCGTCCAGCAGTGCAGGGAGGCCCGGACAGGCTGCCAGAGTGCCCACGCAGGACTTTCAAGGAGGCCGATGCAGTCAACATCAAGAAAACTTGCAACGGCTCCAGTGGTCCAGACGAGAGTTTGATCTATCGTTTATTGATGGCCCAGGACTGCCGCGGATACCAAGCCTCAGTGCGCCTTCGAACGCCAACGCGTGAACTTCCAAGCCAAGGGCCCCATTATCCGGACACGGCCTCTTCTGACGCGCTAGACGTTTGGCCCCACGGCAAGTAGAATTGTAACGCGCGCGAAGCGCGCGATGGCTCTATGTATACATACACGCACGGGGTGAGATTTCGATGAGGCTCAGACGCATTCCACCCCACGCTTGCGGCACAGTGGCCGTGATACAACAAACGCTAGCGCATGACAGTCGGGGGTGGACAGACCTCCTACCCTGACACGTCGATTAAGGAATTGGCCGTTTTCGGTTCGCGAGAGGGCGTCGCGGCCGTCATTTTTGCGGGTCCGGGTCCGTCGGTTTCGGTCCCAGGCCGTTTTCACTAAGGGGAGATCTACTAAAGGGAGGTTTGTCCACCGCCGATGACAGGGCAGAGTGACGCTCGCGAAAATCATGCACACAGGGGTCGCGCAATGGCACGATCGTGCGCTAGACGTTATACGTACGCACAGCGATAGTACATACAACTGACACGCCAAACGCTTAAACAAACATAAGAAGAGGATGACGGACCGACAGTCCAGACGCACATGACCAACACGTCACGTATGCAATGTACATTTTTGGGTGACACGCGTCTCGCACGAACCTAGCACATGCAACGGCCACGTGCAAACTACAGACTCGAATGCCATACGCATTCAGCATATCGGACTGCCACAAACAGAGGAGGTTTCGCACACAAGGAGCAGGCGCGCAAGATATAGTTTGAAGGTTCACGGCGCATTGTAGTTGATTCTGCCCACGGGTCCTGTGCTTTCCCCGTTTGGGCGGTGACTCCGCAGGGTTTTCGGCCTGCCCCGTGGGCCATCCTGGGCCTTCCCCCCGCTCTTCTCTCGCCTTTCCTCCTTCTTCCCGGGGATCGAGGAGATGATTTGTGGGCGCTCGCCGAGCTTTGATGAGTCGCGGGTCCTTTCTGCGATAAATGCATACGCACACCCTCTCGCGCTTTCTGTCTCCTGCTCTCGTCAGCCGATAGCATCTTGTGCTATCGTACTTACCTACCCTGAGGCCTGAGGATCTAGGCCGCCTTCAGAGGAGGAGGAGGAGGAGGAGGAGGAAAAGGAGGAAAAGGAGGAGGAGGAGGAGGTTGTGGAGGAGGAGGAGGAGGAGGAGGAGGAGGAGGAGGAGGAGGAGGAGGACAACGAGGAGGTGGACAAAGAGGAGGAGGAACACGAGGAGAGCTGAGGCCATTTAACATAACATCTGGAATGAAGCCCTTCCACACCTAACTATGCTCAGGGCGTTGTCGCGGGCACCCTGGGGGTCTGTGCCAAGACGTGGCCGGCTGCAGGTGGCGATCTGATCATCAGATCGCCTCCTGCAGCCGGCCACGTCGACTGTGAAGCGAATACAGTGGAAACTCATGCCAAGAAACACCCTGCTTGCCTTCAGAGTGCCTTGGGTTTCTTGGGCTTCGATGGTTTCGCCATGGAGAGCGTGACGTTCCCACACCAAGAATCAATGGACGTTTTAGGGTCTCAGGGTTGGGTTTCTTGTGGGAGGTTTTTTGTGGATTGGCCACCACTGTAGGGCTGACGGGCTTGCTGGCTTCAGCGCTCGGTTGAGACTGCCAGGCTGCGGCCTTGCATCGTTTGGTCTGCCCTCCTGGTGCACTCTTGCGCGGGAGACCCCAGAGCGTAGAGCCAGGTTCTGCCTGCAGGATGTGCTGAACTGCTTGGCTTGAAGGGATTGCTACGCTTCAGTTTGCCTCATTTGGTGTTTCCCTTCCCCCAATGGATTTATGATTTGCGCGTGGGCGGGCGATCAAGGGTGGTCTTGCAAGGGCCCGTCGACATAAGCTGGCCAGTAAGAGTAGTGTTTCTGAAATGCCTCGCCACCCAGCATTCTGGGTGGCGACGGTTCGATGGGGCCGTCACGGTCGCACCTCGCGTCTCCAGGGTAAGGAAGGCTGTGACGATATTGTCGCCGTTGCTGATAAGGATCATGTTGATACTGCTGGTGGTGATGATGTTGATTGCGGTGCTAATGATGGTGGTGGTGGTGTTGGTGATGATGCCGGTGATGATGTTGTTCGAAGGAACCCTATCTGTGCACCCCGTCGCGTGGTCCTTTGCTCCCTCCCCCTAAAGGACTCAAAGAACCCTCCCCGCCCGCGGCGGCGCTCCTATGGGATTACATGGGGATCGTATGGGCTTCCATCGGGCTTTAATGAAATTCCATAGGGCTCCTATGGGATTCCATAGGGATCCTATAGGATTCCATAAGGGGTCCTGCAGGATCCCATGGGGATGCTGTAGGGTCCCATAGGTAACTTATAGGATTTCATAGGGATCCTGAAGGATTCCCTCCAGGGATTTGATCGGTTTCCATCGGCATTCTATAGGATTCCATTGGGATCTTATAGGATTCCCTATGGATCGTCTCGGATTATGTTGGGATCCGATAGGGTTCCATAGGGGTCCTATAGGATTCCAAAAGGATCCTCTAGGAGAACGTAAGGGTCCGGTCGGATTCCAAAGGGATCCTATGTGATTCCATAGGGATCCGAAAGGATCCCGATGGAATCCTGTAAGATTCCATAGGGAGTCGTCAGACTCCTAGGGATTCCTAGGGTTCCTCAGGGCTCCTAGGATTCCTTAGGGAGTCCTAGGATTCCATCGGGATTCCTAGGAATCCCTAGGGAATCCGAGGATTTCATACGAGTGTGGAGATGTGAGATCGGCGCGCTGGCGTGCACATGGTTTCAGCTCGCTGGAATGCGTGGTTTGCCTTAGAGGAACCCAGGGTTCCGTAAGGACTCCTCGGGTTCCCCAGGGGTCCCCAAGATCCCTGGGGATTCCTAGGATTCCCTAGGGATTCTTAGGATTCCCTAGGGATTCCTATGCTTCCTGAAGGATTCCTAGGACTCCCTAGGGATCCTTAGGAGTCCTTAGATGTTGTTCAGATTCCATAGGGGTTCCATAAGGTATTATTGCTTCGAGTATTATTATTACTACTAGTACTATTATCACAACAACAACAACTACTACTACTGCTACTACTACTACTACTACTACCACTACTACTACTACTACTACTACTACTACTACTACTACTACTACTACTACTACTACTACTACTACTACTACTACTACTACTACTACTACTACTACTACTACTACTACTACTACTACTACTACTACTACTACTACTACTACTACTACTACGACTACTACTACTACTACTACTACTACTACTACTACTACTACTACTACTACTACTACTACTACTACTACGACTACGACTACGACTACGACTACGACTACGACTATGACTACTACTACTACTACTACTACTACTACTACTACTACTACTACTACTTCTACTTCTACTGCTACTACTGCTAATGCTACTACTACTACTACTACTACTACTACTACCACTACTACTATTGGTATTACTACGACTGTTAGTCTTATTCCCTACCTAGGCTCTGCCTAGAAGGGTTCTTACTCGGTGTGCTTAAAGGGGCCGGGCAGTGGAAAGCGCCCCGGGCGGTTCCCCCAGGATCCGCCCCGCGGTTCCCCCAGTTGCGCCCCCTTAGTTTAGCGTTGCTTATCTCATCTTAGCTAAGCGTATTTCATCTTAGCTTAGCTTGGGTTCATCTTAGCTCAGGTTTATCTTAGCTAGCTTACCTTCATCTTAGCTTCGCTGAGCTTTAGCATAGCAGAGCACAGCATAGCATAGCGTAGCGTAGCATAGCGCAGCATCGCATATCATATCATGGGTGTAATTCCCTACCTAGGCTCTGCTTAGAGGGTTAGCTTAGCTGAGCTTAACTTAGCATAGCGCAGCGCTGCATTCGCATAGCATAGCATATCATAACATAGCCAAGCATAGCATAGCATAGCGCAGCATAGCATAGCAACTCATAGCATAGCATAGCATAGCGCAGCATAGCATAGCATAAAACAGCGCAGCATAGCATAGCATAGCATAGCAGAACATCGCGCAGCATGTTAATGTAGCTGTCGGTGTAGATGTAGATGTTGCTTTCCTAGATGCTCCAACTCCTGGGTAGGGTCGCACTGGGATAATGTTTTACTACTCCTATTACTACTACTACTACTACTACTACTACTACCGTTACTACGGCTACGACCACTTTTCTATTACTACTACTCCTACCACTGCTACCACTACTACCACTGCTACCACCACCACTACTACTACTACTACTACTACTGCAACTACTACAACAGGTATTACTACTACTGCGAGTACGAGTCTTTATACGATATCTAGGGCTACCTTTGCTACTACTACTGGTGCTATTACTACTACTACTACTGCTGCTACTACTACTACTACGAATACTACTACTACTACTGTCACTACTACCACATCAACAGCTACTACTGCTGTTAGTACTGCTACTACTACTGCTGTTACTACTACTACTACTACTACCACTACTACTACTACTACTACTACTACTACTACTACTACTACTACTACTACTACTACTACTACTACTACTACTACTACTACTACTATACTACTACTACTACTACGCGACCACTACTACTACTACGACCACACGTTTAGTACGACTACTACTACTACTTCTGCTGCTACTACCACTACCACTACGACTACTACTACTACTACTACTACTACTACTGCGACTCCTACGGCTACTACTACTACTACTACTACTACTACTACTACTACTACTACTACTACTACTACTACTACTACTACTACTACTACTACTACTACTACTACTACTACTACTACTACTACTACGACTGCTACTACTACCACCACCACCACTACTACTACTACTACTACTACTACTACTACTACTACTACTACTACTACTACTACTACTACTACTATTACTACCTTTACTACGATTACTACTACTACCACTGCTACTACTGCTGCTACTACAACTACTCTCTACCACTACTGCCACAATGTATTATCTTTTCCTACTACGAAGTCTACTACTAGCATTACTACTACCAGTACCACTAGTCCTGCTACTACTACTACTACTACTGCTGCTACTACTACTACTGCTACTGCCTACCTACCTGCCTATCTACCTACCTACCTACCTGCGTACTGCTACTTCTTCTACGACCGATGCTACTAGTATTAGTGCGAATATTACTACTACTTCCGACGGCTACTAATACCATTATCTTTTCTATTACTACTACTGCTACTGCTGCTACTACTACTACTATTGCTACAACTACCGCCACTACTACTATTACCACTACCACTACCACTACTACTACTACTACTACTACTACTACTACTACTACTACTACTACTACTACTACTACTACTACTACTACTACTACTACTACTACTACTACTACTACTACTACTACTACTACTACTACTACTACTACTACTACTACTACTACCACCACCACTGCTACTACTGCTGCTGCTACTACTACTACTACTACTGTCGTTACCACTATTCGTACAACTGCTGCAACAACAACAGCTACTACTAATTCTACTACTACTGCTACTGCTGCTGCTACTAGTGCTACTGCTACTGCTACTACTACTACTACTACTACTACTACTACTACTACTACTACTACTACTACTACTACTACTACTACTACTACTACTACTACTACTACTACTACTACTACTACTACTACTACTACTACTACTACTACTACTACTACTACTACTACTACTACTACTACTAACTGCTGCTGCTACTACTACTACTACTACGACTACTACGACTACCACTACTGCTACTACGATTACTACTACTACTCCTACTACTCCGACTACTCCTACTACTCCTGCTCCTCCTCCTCCTACTACTGCTACTACTACTTCTGCCACTACTACTCCTACTACTACGACGATGACCACTACTTCTACCATTCTTAGGGTTCCGTCGGGATTCTTAGGATTCCTAGGATTCCCTAGGGATCCCAATGATCCATAGGATTCCTCGGATTCCTAGGACTCCTAGGATTCCTAGGACTCCTAGGGCTCCTAGGATTCCATCGGATTCCTAGGATTCTTAGGGTTCCTGGGATTCCCTTGGGATTCCTGGGATTCCCTTGGGATTCCTGTGGATTCTTCGGGATTCCCTTGGATTCCATGGATACCCTGGATTCCCTAGGGATTCCAGTGGATTCCTAGGCAGGAGTCATAAGGTTCCCATGCTTCCCCAAGCATTCCGGGGGATTCCTAGGGCTTCCTACGACATCCTAGGCGCGCTAGCGCAACCATGGTTTCAGCTCCCTGGGATCAGATGGTTGCCTTACGGATCCCGAAGGAAGGCCGAGGATTTCCTTTTTTTTTCTGCCTGCTGGGTTCTCTGTTTTTTGGGGGTCCGCGGGGGGGTGCACGGGGGGGGGGCAAAGAGCCAGGTCCACGGGGTCTGCAGGCAGGGTTCCTGCCTTGGGCGGAGGGGGCCCGGGGCTCGCGGGTGATGTTCGTACCATGTCGTTGCTGCTGCTGATGTTGTGGCCGCTGGCGGTTATGATGATGACCATGACGACGACGATGCTGATGATGATGCTGATTATGATGATGCTGATGATGATGATGCTGATGCTGATGCTGCTGATGCTGATGCTGATGATGATGCTGATGCTGATGATGATGCTGAGGTTGATGCTGATGATGATGCTGATGCTGATGCTGTTGATGATTATTGAGACGGTGACGATGGCGATGTCGATGCCGATGATGATCATTTTAACGATGATGCTGGCGATGATGAGGATGCTGATGCTGATGATGCTGATAGTGATGATGCTAATGATGATGATGATGATGATGATGATGCTGATGATGCTGATGATGATGATGACGATGATGATGAGGATGATGAGGATGATGATGGTGGTGGTGATGATGCTGCCGATGATGATGATGATGATGATGATGATGATGATGATGATGATGATGATGATGATGATGAGGATGAGGACGAACGCTCCCATGAAGCTTGTTCGGGCCGTCTTGCGGCTGGCCTGGCCTCCTGTGATGCAGTCCTGGGGTGTCCTTGGGGCAGTTGTGTGGGGCTGGGAGGGAGAAACACCAGTAGATCTGTTTGGGTGTGTGCGTGTGAGTTAGAGAACAAGCGGATCGGGTGGGCGCAACCATTTCATCCCGATCCGAGTCTCCCCTGGTGTTCTCGTGCCTCGGAGGGACAAGGGGGCTCGCGGGTGATGCTCGTACCATGTCGCTGCTGCTGGTGATGCTGTGGCCGCTGGCGATTATGATGATGACCTTGCTGACGACGACGACGATGATGATGATGCTGATGCTGATGATGCTGCTGCTGATGATGATGCTGATGATGCTGATGATGATGCTGAGGTTGATGCTGATGTTGATGCTGATGCTAATGCTGATGCTGATGATGATTAGTGTGACGGTGACGAAGGCGATGGCGATGCCGATGATGATCAGTGTACCGATGATGCTGGCGATGATGAGGATGATGCTGATGCTGATGATGATGCTGATGATACTGATGATGCTGATGCTGATGATGATGATGCTGATACTGCTGATCATGATGATGAGGTTGATGCTGCTGTTGATGCTGATGTTGATGCTGATGATGATTATTGAGACGGTGACGATGGCGATGTCGATGCCGATGATGATCATTGTAACGATGATGCTGGCGATGATGCTGATGATGCTGATGCTGATGATGATGCTGAGGATGATGATGCTGAGGTTGATGATGATGCTGATGCTGATGATGATGCTGAGGTTGATGCTGATGTTGATGCTGATTATTGTGACGGTGACGATGGCGATGGCGATGCCGATGATGATCATTGTAACGATGATGCTGGCGATGATGAGGATGATGATGCTGATGATGATGATGATGCTGATGATGCTGCTGCTGATGATGCTGATGATACTGATGATGATGATGCTGATGATGATGATGATGATGATGACGATGATGATGATGATGATGATGATGATGATGATGATGATGATGATGATGATGATGATGATGATGTTGATGATGATGATGATGGTGATGATGATGAGGATGCTGATGGCGGTGGTGGTGGTGATGATGATGATGATGATGATGATGATGATGATGATGATGATGAGGATGAGGACGAAAGCTCCCATGAAGCTTGTTCGGGCCGTCTTGCTGCTGGCCTGGCCTCCTGTGAGGCAGTCCTGGGGGTGTCCTTGGGGCCGTTGTGGGGGGCTGGGAGGAAGAAGCACCAGTAGATCTGTTTGGGTGTGTGCGTGTGAGTGAGAGAACAAGCGGATCGGGTGGGCGCAACCATTTCACCCCGATCCGAGTCTCCCCGTTTTTTTCTCGTGCCTCGGAGGGACAGGGGGTCTCCAGGCCTCTGAGCTTGCCAACGACGCGACCTCCAGGCCAGCAGGCTCTTGGTACAGTGGCCCGCGGTATTGGGCATGTGCTCTCAGCGACCAGTCTGGCTCAAGCCATCATACTCGCACCTACACTCGCTACTGCACTGCGCGCGCGCCGGCATCTGCGCGCGCTGTCCGCGCAGTCTTCGCCCACATGGCGCTGCCCACGGCGCGCGTCGCGGCGCTCATGGGTGTCCTCTCGTCCATCGGCTGCACAGCTGCTGTCAAGCTCTTCGGCGCGCAGGAGGTCGGCGCGCCGGAGGCGCGCGCCCGCGTGGCCACGACGGCGCAGAGCTGCGATGGGTCCGCGCTCGGTGCGACTGTCGTTCGGGAGTCGGACGTGGGATACAACGCCTCGCGCAGCCAGTGGGCATCCACCATGTCTTCGTCAGCCGTCGCCGACGCAAGGACGAGACCTCACATGATCGTCTACTGCACCACCGATGCCCACGTGCAGGAAGCGGTGTCTTTCGCCAAGGGCTGCGGCTTCTCGATCTCGGTGCGGAGCGGTGGGCACAACTATGCGGGCTTGTCCTCCTGTCCAGAAGACTCCCCGCAGTGCATCCAGGTGGACCTGTCAGGCATCGAGACGTTCGCCGTGAACACCGCAACGAGCCCGGCGCAGGTCACCATCGGGTCTGGGCTCATCATGGAGCAGGTCTACTCGATGCTGATGCCCTACGGGCTGACCGTCCCAGGTGGGACGTGCAAGACCGTTGGCGTCGGGGGACACTACCAGTCGAGCGCCGCTGGCTATCTCGTGAGGTCTTTCGGCCTTGGCTTAGATCACGTGAAGTCTTTCAGGATCGTCTTGGCGGATGCACAGGTGCATGTCGTCGACGAGAGCTCGGACCCCGAGTTGTACTGGGCGCTGTTGGGCGGCGGGCCTGGCAGTTGGGGCATCGTGCTGGACTACACCCTTGACACGATAGCCTACGCCGACGCTCCGCATACGTCAACGTGGACGTTTCTCTACCCGTACTCACGTGCGATGTTACACGCCCTCGGGAGCTTGTGGAGCAGTCAGATGGCGGACCCAGTGGTCGAGAGAGACCTCATGCTGCTCTTCATGGTGCACCCAGGAGTGCTGTTCGGTTTCAACGACACCTACGAGCACTACATCATGGTGCGGGGAGTCTGGACGGGCATCGACAACGGTGCTTTGGCTGGTAGTCTGTATACCCAGTACGTGACACCTTTTGAAGCCATACCTCACCTCACCCTGGCACCTGTCACCCCAGTTCCGGTGCACGCGATCCAGGGCGCCTTGGCGACCAGTTGGGACCTGGGCCCCTTCAGGTCCCACATCCACGGCTTCGCCACGAAGTCATGGCCCGATGCGGTGTTCTACGATGCCATTGCGGACGAGGTCGAGATCCGTCTCGCAATCCCATACCTGCACTTCTCCTTTCAGCTGTGGGCCTTTGGCGGCCAAGGCCGAAGGAATGCGGGCCAGAACGCTTACGCCAATCGGGAAGCCGAGACCTGGGTGGACGACTGGGTCTTCTTCCTGGGCGACGGGATGGCTCAGGTTGCCGAGGACAGGATCTGGGCGTTCCGAAACACGACGGGCCACGAGTGGGAAGAGGACAACATCCCCCACAGCTGGATGACCCCGGACACCCTGACCCAGAAAACCCACAGTGGAGCAGCCGACTTCGCCATGAACGAGAGCTGGTTCGCGCGCCTGCAGGACGTGAAGACCAGGGTCGACTCCGCCGACCTCTTCCGCACGTCGATGACGATACCGGCCAGGGGGTCAGCCAGTGCCGCCGGAGATCGGGGCTGCCCAACCCGGGCCATTCTTCCATTGAACGCCCCCGAGGGGGCAGACACCGCCGCCCCACTGTTCCTGGAGCCGAGGAGGGCCCCGACAAGCCGCCGAAAGACGGCAGCAACGAGGCCTGGAGCGCCCTCAGAGAGGGCGCCCAGGGGGCCCCGAGAGGAGCCCCCACAGAGGGGCCAGAACGGGGCGAGAGCGGCGGAGTGGGGCGAGCGAGGCAACGGCAGACGACCGCAAGAGCCGCCCAGGAGGCGTTCCGAGAGCTCGTGGGGAGCCCCGAGGGGCAGTCAGGGCGGCCGCCGCGAGCATCCGCGGAGTCTGAGGTGCAAGGAGGGGCCCGGGGAGGCCCAGGAGAGCTCCAAGAGGCGCGAGGAGAAGCCTAAGGCGGCTGGAGTCGGCACACGATCCTATGTTTTGTCCGGTTTTTGCCCCCCGGGGCTTGCGGGTGTTCTGAGGCCAAGCGAGCTCGGAGAGGCGTCCAGACCGGCCTAAGGTGGCCCAAACGACCGTCAAGGCGAGCCCAGGAGGGCTCCTTGACATGTGCCCCCCAAGAGGCCGGCTCGGGAGGCTCCCGGGGAGGTCTCTGAGAGTGCCCAGCGGCGCCCAGAAGCCTGGCATCCGAAACGGGGGTCGTTTGGGGACGGAAGTGGTGGCCAGACCCAGAGATCCAACGTATTGAACCACATCGAGACAGAGGTTTTCGTATTTTTCGGCCTCGAGGGGCCCTCGCCGGGCCCCGGGACAGAGAAACAACGACTCAGGATGAGAAGCCGGTCCTGGGGAATGGGTCGAGGCTTCCGGGAACCCCGTATTGAAAAACGGGGCTGGACCCACACAGTGTTTCGGCGATTTCGTGGGCCGTTTTCGGTTCGATCTCGTTCTGCGCGGGAAAGTTAAGGCGGATTGACGACGAAACGAGGGATACTCCGAGCAAAGCGAAAACGAGAACAAAGCGTTTAGGTTCAGCCCTGTGGAAGAAAGGGAACAAAACGAAAACGATAACAAAACGTTTAGGTTCAGCCCTGTTGAGGAACTCACGACGTCGGATCTCGGGGTATTTGGGGGCGGAAGCGGCGGCCAGAGGGTGCGGAAGGGGAGCGGTCTGCGGGGGGGGGAGGGGCTCGGAGAGCAGCAGCGAGAGCGCTTCCCTGGACACGCGCGGGGCCCCCCCGGGCGGCGCCTCCGCGAAGTCCGCGCGGAGCGCGAGCCAATTCTGTTTCCGTCGTTGTTTGTGTTAGTTTGGGGGCGGAAGTTCAGGGGCAACCGTCAGCGGGGGAGAGGCATAGGGGGGGGATGCATCGACCCCCAATCGCCCATTCATCGCCGATAGGGGCCCGATAGGGGTAGCTCGGGCCAGCGGAATGGGAACGGTCTGCGGGGGGGGAGGGGTTCGGAGAGTACAGCCAAGACGCTGAAATAAGGAACAGTTTGGATTCGGAAGGGGCTCCATGTTCCTTACGTCCTTCCGTGGTTGTTCCTCTAGCCCTTCTCGTGCACCCTGGCTTTTTTTGAAGCCACAGAGGGGCTTCGTTCCTTATTTAGCCTTCCTGATTTCAGCAGCCCGACTGTAGCAGTGAAAGCGCTTTCTTGGATCCGCGCTGGGCCCCCCGGGCGGCGCCTTCAGCGCCACCCCTGGCGCGCCACGCGCGCCAGGGAGGGGGTTCCAGCGCACGTCCACGAAGTCCGCGCGGAGCGCGAACAAAACTATGTTTATGTTGTTGTTTCTGTTAGTTTTGGGACGGAAGCGGTGTCCAGAGGGCGAGCCTTTCGCGCCTCAGGCATCTCGGGCCGGCGGAGCGAGCGGCCTGCGGGGGGGCCCCAGGAGGGGCTCGGGGAGGCTCGGAGGCAGGGACAGAAGGGAAAAGTGCCTTGGTGAGAGGACTCACGAGAATTAAGTCGGGTCTGTCACTGTACAGGAGGAATATCCCAAAATAGTCAAACAATAGCCGGCGGGACGATTATTTGAGTATGTTTTCGACCATTTGGGAATATGTTTTGGGTATCTTTTCCCTACCTAGGCTCTGCCTAGAAGGGTTCTTACTCTCTAGCTTAAAAGGGCCGGGCAGTGCTAACCGCCCCGGGCGGTTCCCCCGGTCCCCTGGGAGCCAAGCAAAAACAACAGCACAGGTAAAAGCAAACGCGCGGTTCCCCCAGTTGCGCTCCCTGGGTGCCAAGCAAAAGCAAGAGCAAAGGCAAAAGTGAAGGCAAAAGTGAAGGCAAAAGCGAAGGCAAATCAACAGCATAGCATAGCATAGCATAGCAAAGCATAGCATAGCATAGCATTGCATAGCATAGCATAGCATAGCATAGCATAGCATAGCGCAGCATAGCATAGCGCAGCATAGCATAGCCTAGCCTAGTCTAGCCTAGCCTAGCCCAGCATAGCATTGCGCAGCATAGCATAGCATAGCAGAGCATAGCAGAGCAGAGCAGAGCATAGCATGCCATAGCATAGCATAGCATACCATAGCGCAGCACAGCATCCACTATTGCTGCTGCTATATAGTTATATGCATATATATATATATATGTAGCACTCGGCGCGGCACTCAGGACCTCGTGAGGGTCCTATACTCCTAGGTAGGGTCGCACTGGGATAATTTATGTTTGGCCCCAAATCGGCCTGTAGGGGGTCAGGCCCGACTAAACACGAGAAGCAGCCCTTGCGGATCATGCTGTGGTATTCTCACACGCCGTACCCGGTGGGGCGGGGGATCGCTTCCCTCATTCCGCCGGCCCATATCTGATGGCCTTCGGCCCATCCAGCCACCCTGCCTGGGTGGTGGGTCTGAGGCCTATTGGATGCTCGTCGGGATCTCGTCGAGGCCTGTCGGGGGCCTCGTGGAGGCAGTTCTGAGGTCTTTGGGGGGCTGTTTTGGGACCTCTTGGAGGTTCTTTGGGGCTTCTTGGGGGCCTCCAGGGGCCTCGTGGGGGACTCTTGGGGCTCTTGGGGCCTCTTGGGCGCCTCGTGGGCCTCCTGGGGCCTCCTGGGTGGCTCTTCCTCTGGGGCCGTCTTGGGGCGGTCTTGGGGGCCTCTCTGGGCGTCTTGCAGCATCGGAAGCTCGAAATCTGGAGAACTCCCAAAACATTTTACAAATCAAAGGAAAGCCATCGGTTTTGGCCTTTCGGGGCCCTCTTGGGAAGGCTCTTGGGAAGGCCTCTTGGGACGTCTCGGGCGCTTTATTGGCCGACTGGAGGTCCTCGTGGGCATCTCTTGAAGGTTCTTTGGGGCCCTCTTGGGGAAATTATTTGGGGCCTCTTGGATTCCGGAGGATTAGCCCGGGGAGTTCCGGCATCCTTGATCGGGGGCCCCCAAACGGGGTGGTGACCACCCCGTGTGGTGACTCGCCGGGGATTCGAGGTCACCGCACGGTTTTGGGACTCGAGTCCCTCTCCGAGGATGTCCCAGGCGACAGGGGCCTCCAGGGTCCCAAGACCGTGCGGTGACGGACTGTGCGGTGAGGTCTCTTGGAGTTGCGAGGTCACCGCACGGTCTGTCACCGCACCGTTTCGGGACTCCAAACTTGAGCAGACTTTGCCGGGGTACTTCTCGTGTGGGGACACCCAGGGCGGCCCCACAAGCGCGAACCAGAAGTGTTCTTAACCTGTCACCGAAAGTCTAAGTACGCCTTTGGCGTGTTGGGCTGGCACATTCCCCAGCCAGGCATATTGTTCCCAACCCTTCTGTGTGTTTGGTCCTCGTTTCGACTCCGCAACGCCAGAGGAGGAGGAGGAGGGAGAAGAAAAAGAAGATCAACGTCAAGAATAGTACGATTAATAGCACGACTAATGATATGCATGGTAATCACCTCACAAATAAGAAAACTATTCATAAGAAGACGAAAGAGACGAAAGACAACAATGATACTGATGCGAATCATAATACGACCATGACGCATACTAACACGAATGATAATGCGAATCGTACTAAAAAAGGAGGGGGAGGAGGAGGAGGAGGAGGAGGAGGACCCAAGAGCCATCAACGATGCTGGAATACACCCTCCCTCCAAGCTCCCTCCTCATAGTTAGGCCCCTACAACGGTTCATTTCCATTGAGGGATCTGCCTCGTTGGAAGACAACCGTTTGAAGACCAGGAAGCATGCCAAAACATTGTTCTCGGGATTCCAACGCCACGGATCAAACTGACTGTTGCGTCTTGACGTTCCATCCTAGATTGCGCCAGAACGCCGTTCTTGGGATTTCAACATCGCGAATCAACGTAGCTGTTGCACCAGTAAAATCCTGAATCCTTCCAAAACGCCATTTCTGGTACGCTGATCATGGGAATCCGCGAGAATCTTGTAATTTTGTAGAACGAATGTGCGCGGCGCTATGGCGAGAGCCACACATTGAAAAGGAACCGCTTTCAATCCGTGAAACTTCTGCAAAGTTTCAAGACGAATGTGCGTCGCGCTAAGGCGAGCGCCACAGTTTGAAAAGGAACCGCCCTCAATCCGTGAAGCTCTTGCAACTGTTCAAAACGAATGTGCGCCGCGCTAAGGCGAGAGCAACATTTTGGAAAGCACCCGCCCTCCATTTGTGAAGCTGTGGCCAATTTTGAAGCTCCAGAGTCATAGATGGTGAGGAAGTCTAAGGCGAAACGCCCGGCCCGTCCTAAACACTTGCTTCGGGGTGTGACGGGGAGAAGTTATTTCTAAGGGAAAGAGTGGAGGAGGAGGCGGAGGAGGAGGAGGAGGAGGCGGCCGTTGCGCCTGCTCGCGCAAGGGCCGTTTCTTCTCGTCGCTCATGCGGTTTTGTGTTCTGTACTTCGGTCTATCGCCCTCTCTCGCCGGTCTCCGGCGGGCGGTCTGCCCAACAGAGGAGGAGGAGGAAGGAGGAGGAGGAGGAGGAGGAGGAGGAGGGGGAGAAGGAGGCGGAGGCGGAGGTGGAGGCGGAGGCGGAGGCGGAGGAGGAGGAGGAGGAGGAGGAGGAGGAGGAGGACGAGGAGGAGGAGGAAGAAGGAGCATAATCATAATAATCCGCCGCCCCCTGTCGATTCATCGCAGGGGTGCCTGGCGTGCTAGACTTCTTAGGTTTTGGTTGGTTCTTTTTCCAAAAGAACTACCCCTGGGGCTCCAGCGCGTCCCGCCGGCCACCCGCAAGGATGCCGACAGATCTTCCAGAGGTGGTTGCAAAGGGTTTTTCCGTTCCAGACGGCTCCAAGATGGCCCAAGATGGCCTCTAAGACGGCCAAGAAGGCCTCCAAGACGGCTAAGATGGCCCCAAGATGCCTCGAAGACGGCCCAAGATGCACCCAGGACGGCCTAAGATGGCCTCAAGATGGCCCAAAACGGCCCAAGAGGCTCCCAAGAGGCCTCCAAGACGGCCCAAGAGGCCTCCAAGAGGTCCTCCAGGAAGGTCCGAAGAGGCGAAAATCATTGATTTTCCTATGTTTTTTGAAGGATTTTGGCATTTGCGCCTTTTCGGCTTTCCGACGGCCCAGACGGCCCAAGAGGCCCCCAAGGTCGCCGCAAGATCGCCCAAGAGGCCTCCAAGATGGCCCCATGACGGCCCAAGAGGCCCCTCAAGACGGCCCCAAGAGGGCCCCAAGACGGCCCAAGAGGCTTCGAAAACGCCCAAGATGGCCTCCAAGAGGGCCCCGAAGCGCCACAAGAGGACCCGAAGTCGGTTCAGAGAGGCCCCCAAGACGGCTCCCGACGGCGTCAGACGTGCCAGGAACCAACCAAGATGGCCGAAGTTGGCTCGAAGCTGGCCCAAGACGGCCCAAGAGGCCTCCAAGAGGGCCTCCAGGAAAGCCGGGAAAGGCCAAAAACATTGGAGAAAGGGTGTCAAACAGAGGGGAGGAGGTAGAGCCAGGGAAGGCCTGGACGGGGCTGGAGTGGAAGGGGCGCGTTCGGACGGGGACGGTTCGGGATACGGCTGGATCTTGGTAGCCTTGAGGAGACCCGCACTTGCAGAACATCCACGGCGAGCGGTTCGATTTGATGCAACCTGGCTGGCACACTCTGCTCGAGATTCCGAGGCAGGCAGCCGCCCAGCATGTGCTGCTGCTTGTTGAGGCGGAGGCGCGTCATGATGGTCCGGCGTGCACGGACATGTATTTCAGAAGCCTGAACATCACTGGGGAGTGGGCCGAGGAGAAGCAGAAGGGTGGCTTGCGCTTCCACGCGCACCAGTCTGACGGCACGGCATCCACGTGGATGAAGTTCAACAGGTTGGACCTGAAGGTCACGCACGGGCGCACCTTGCAGGGCACCCGCTACCTCAACTTCTTCGTCAGTCACCTTGCGAAGACGGGCTTCGCCATCGGAGGCTTGCTCGGAGAGGACGACCACACGAAGGCAGCGACCCCGGAAGCGTCTTGCCGGCGCGGCGTTTCCCTCCTGCAGGGGACGAGCGGCAGGGCCGAGGAGGGCGCGTCTTCCGCCTCGAGCGCAGAGGCGAGCCTGGCGTAGGAGGCGGCGCTCACGCGAGAGGCGCCAGTGACGGGCTCTCCATCGGCAGGACTCGGCTGCACACACAAGAGTGGCCTCTCGCCAGAGCGGCCCTGGGCGCGGGCACGCCGGGGCCCCCAGGCGGCGGAGCGCGACGCGATTAGCAGCGTCTGGCGCGCCCGGCTTCGGCCTCCCCGCGGCCCCCGAGTGTCGCGCACCCAGAGGTAGCTCTTGCCCGGGGGGTCACTCGTGGGTGTAGCCGACGGGTCGTTCGTGCCTCCGGTTTCGTACCCTTTTGAGCTCCATGTGGTCGCCCTGATCGTCTCGTGTGAAGACGGGCCCGGCGGCTCTCTCCTGCCGCGGTGCAGAATTATCGAAGACGCCTTCGGCCCATCCCGCCACCGTGCCTGGGTTCTGGGCTTGAGGCGTAGTGGATGCATGCCAGGGTAATTAGGTTGGGATTCCTTTGGGGGGCCTCTTGGAGGCGTCTTGGGTCTTGGGGACCTCCTTGGCGGCCTCTTGGGGGCCTCCTCGGGGGCCTCTTGGGGGCCTCCTAGGGGGCCTCTTGGGGGCCTCTTGAGCATCTTGGGGGCTCCACGTAGGCCTCTGAGAGGCTCTTGGGGCCGTCTTAGTGCCGAGGGCTCGGAATGTCCGTTCGGGTTCCCCCTTTGGGCCCCCTCTCGCGGTCGGCTTGGAGGCCTCTTGGGCCGTCTTGGGGGCGCTTGGGCCGTCTTGCCGCCGTCCTGGGCCGTTTGGGGGCCCTCTTGGAGGCCTCTTGGGCCGTCTTGGAGCCATCTCGGGGGCCTCGTGGGTCGTCTTCGAGCGTCGGGAAGCCGAAAGGGCGCGAAGGCACACATCTTGCAAACACATATGGGAAAGAAGTGTTGTTTGACTCTTGGGGCCCTTTTTGGAAGCTTCTTGGAGGCCTCTTGGGGCGTGTTGGAGGCGTCTTGGGCTGTCTGGGGGCCATCTGGAGCGGCTTGGAGCGATCCTTCGGTGACTCGGAGCCCTCTTGGACCGTCTTGGAGGCCTCCCAGGGCCCTCTCGGATCCTTCTGGGCTCCGGAAGAGTCATGCGACAAGACGCAGGTGAGCCCATGAGGCACGCGGGGAGCCCTGCACGATTTGAGAGTTTGGGGTCTGGGCCCGTCGTCAAATCCTCAGGATTGATGGCTGAGGCTCGGTGGATGAGGCAAGGGATCTCAGGACACATCAGCTCGTGCCTCCTGGCGCGGTTGCGGATCGTACGGGCCCTCGGAAAGTAGTCTTCCGCGCTTGCCGCAATCTTTCAGACAGCGTGAGGCAGTTCTCGCTCTTTTTATTATATTAACGCTCTCAGGGATCCGCAGGCGGTCTTTCCAGCAATCATCCGTGGTTCCGCCGGCGCCCTTGCCAATAGTAAAAGGGAGCGCTCGCGACCGTGGGTAGTCAGGGATCCTCGGCGTCACCGCAGCATACTAATACTAGGTGTGCGGTCCCCCCCCCCCCCCCCCCCCCCCCCCCCCCACGCACCCAGGGGCGACGCGCGCACCGAGAAATCTTGCAGTATCTGCGTCGTGGCGGGCGCTTTCTGGTCGCACCGCTGGGGAGACGACATGCTCAAGACGGGTATGCCGCATGCTCGGGTCGGACGTGCGCCTCCGAGGAGCGCACACGCAGCATACTGGCAGGTCCTCGTGCGTCCCAGGCTCCCCGGTCAGTGCTCGCACCTGGCGGCCCCTGCCCGCGCGGTGAGGAAACCCGCCTCGGTACTTTCTCTGGGTCTCGCCGCCGGCGCCGCGCGGGCCTGCCGGGAGCATGCAGAAGTGCTGCTTCGGTAAGCTTTGGGTCCTCGGGGCGCGACGGTCACGATGCTTCGCGGTGCGGACCTAGCATCCTGGAGCACCTGCAAGGCTTGACTGACCTGGGTCTGGATTGACGCAGGTCAGAGGATCCCCGACGACGCACGTGCGCCGGGCATAGGGCAAAACCGATCGCACACCCTTCCAAAAGCGAGAGCGAGAGGGTGAGGGAGAGAGAGAGAGAGAGAGACAGGAGGAGTGGACGGGAGGAACTAAGGGATGCCCAAACACCCCGACCCACACGAGTGGCGTCTCGTACACGGCCCTGGGCGCTCACGAAGCAGCCCTGCGATGCTCGATCCTTTCCCGGGGTGCGCTTTCGGAACGGCTCTGCTTGTCGGGGTGCTGATGGTGAGGGCAGGGCTCTTGCTCTCTGAGCGAGGGCGAGAGTGGGATGGGCAGTAGCGATATGCAGTTCGTTCGCGAGCTTTTCCGTCTCCGCCGATGTCAGGCCACCTTCGGGGGCGGGGGAAGAGGGGGGTGTTGACCAGGGGGGGGTGGATATCATGGCGTGGGCCATGATATTTCCCCAGATTTCATGGCGCCTCTTGTTATTTCATTACGTCCCTGGCCCCCCCGCTGGGCCGCGCACGTGCCGCCGGTCATGATTTGCACCCCCCCCCCTCTTGGACACCCCCCTCTTGGCCGCTCCCGACAACTGGTCGCTCAGGTGCTCGCGCCGTCGCCGCACTCGGGCTCGGCGCCCATGCAGGTGGAGCTGCCGCAGGAGGAGCCGGCACTCCCTGCCCGCGCCGCCTGCCGGGCACCCCCTCCGCGGCACTCTGCCGCTCGGCTTTTCGCCGCCCGTCGTGGGAGAAGATTCGGCGTGATCCAAGAAGTCCAAGTGCTGATACTCGAAGAAGAAGAATAATGATACTAATAATAATGATAAGAAGAAGAAGAAGAAGAAAAAGAAAAAGAAGAAGAATAGTAATAATAATACTAATAAGAAGAAGAATGATAATAAGAAAAACAATAATAACAATACTAATAATAAAGGCCATACACATACACTTTTGGCGCTCCGCGCGGATTTCTTGGACCCGCGCTGGGCCCCACCCCAGCGGCGCCTCAGGCGCCGCCCCTGGCGAGCTGGAGGCGCCAAGAAGGGGGGTCCATCCCCCCTCCTTGGCTGGGGCTGTCCATTCCCCCTCCTCCTCCTCCTCCTCCTCCTCCTCCTCCTCCTCCTCCTCCCTCCCCCTCCTCACCCCCTCGTCTCCTTCTCCTCCTCCTCCGCCTCCTCCTCCTCCTCCTCCTCCTCCTCATCCCCCTCTTCCTCCTGCTCCTCCGCCTCCTCCTCCTCCTGCTCCTCCGCCTCCTCCTCCGCCTCCTCTTCATCCTCGTCCTCTTCCTCCTGTCGGCAGGGCCCGTACCCGAAGTCACTCTTGCCAAGGGCCGTTTCCGGCGTGCCGCCGGCCGGGCTGCGGGCCCGGGGGCGGGGGAGGCAGGAGGGGAGGTGGGTGCCCGTGCTTTTTCGCCCGGGGTGCCTCGCTGCAATATGCACTGGCGGTCGGAGCCGCGTGTGGATAAAAATCGGAAACTGATGGGCCCATTTGCCACCACCACTACCATCGGTAGGAGAGGGAGGAGGAGGAGGAGGAGGAGGAGGAGGAGGAGGAGGAGGAGGAGGAGGAGGAGGAGGGAGGAGGAGGAGGAGAGGAGGAGGAGGAGGAGGAGGAGGAGGAGGAGGAGGAGGAGGAGGAGGAGGAGGAGGAGGGAGGAGGAGGAGGAGGAGGAGGAGGAGGAGGAGGAGGAGGAGGACCTCAGCCTCCCTTCTCCCCGGTCCTACATATGGTAGTGGTGGTGAACATTTGTCGATCACGATGGGAAGGCAGCGTGAACTTCCCAAGGGTACCATTGCATCCTTGCCTCTTCGGTCCATCCTTGACTGCTTTCGATGGCCCGCCGCGATCGAAGATGCTTGAACGCGGGCGTCCATGAGGCATGCAGTTCCCGCCCCCGCGGCCATCCACCCTTCTTGCAGCCCCCGACCAAATCGGTCTGGGGATGGTCTGGGGTGACTTTCCCCGTGCTCGGGCTCGGTTCGCTTTGTTTCTATATGTCTGCCTGTAGTGCCTTTCGGTACTGCTCGCCTTCTTATGCAGTGGTCGTGCCATCCGTTGTTGGGTGCGATGACTCCATGGTGATGTTTCACGTTTTGAGTCTGAGGTCCAGTGCACAGAGCTACGAACAACAATCGAGCACCTACTTCGATGGTCACAACTTGTGCCCAGTCCCACTTGATGTCTGATAATCAAGGCGGCTTCGACAAATCCCGCCACCGTGCCTAGGTTATACGTCAGACGCCTCTTGGATGCCTGTGGGGACCTCTTGGGAGGCCTCTCGGAAGCGTCTTGGCGGCGGTTTTGGGGGTGTCTTGCAGCCTCTCTGTGTCGGGGCCTTTGTGGGCCCTCCCTGAGCCTGATTTGGGCCTCTTGGGGCCTCTCGGGGCCTCTCGAGGCTTCTGGGGTTTTCTTGGGAGCCTGTTGGTGGTCTCAGGGGTCATTTTTGGGCGGAGGGCCGGGCGGGGAGCGCGAACTGTTAATTTGAATTTCCCTTCTTGGGGCCGTCTTGGGCAGGTTTGGGAGCCTCTTGTGTCGTCTTGGGCCCTTGGGCCGTCTGGGGGCTCTCTGAGGGGTATTTTGGGCCGTCGTGGGGCGATCATGGAGCCCTCCTGGGCCGTCCCCGAGCGCTGGAAGTGAGCCTCTCCCGGGGCCCTCTTGGAGGCCTCTTGAGGGACCTTCTGGGGGCCTCTTGGAGCCCTCCTTGGGGGCCCTCCTGGGCCGTCTGGAGGCCATCCAAGAAGCTTGGGTTGCTCTTCGGGCGACTCGGGGCCCCGTGGGGCCGCCTTTGGGGCTTCGTGGGGGCCCTTGTTTGCCAGCCGTGGGGCCCGCTTGCCAGGGGCCCTCTTGCCAGCCGAAAAGTCTGACGACGCGCCTCGGGGCTGCGCCCGAAATCCCAGAAGCGCCCAAGAGCGCCCGGAACTGCAGGCTGCGGGCCCCGGCAGCAGTGATACTACAAGGCTCAGTGCAGAGGGCTCTCGTGGACCTGGGGAAATTTCAACTCGTGCCTCGAGTAAAGTCGGACCCGTCCCCCTACAGGAGGAAGATTCAAACATATTTAGACAAACTAGACAGGAAGATGTTTCGACTAATCTTGACAGTGTTTGAATATTTAGGGG